GTAGTGGCAGGCCAAGCTCACCTCGCACGCCGTTTGCTTGTAAGACTTCAACCCTCTTTCAGCTTTACCCGGTGGCCCAGAGCTTGACACGGTGCCAAGGATTCGAAAGCACAATGGAACACTTTGCAGCTGACCTCGCAGCCACCACCCAAGGCTGGACCGTTGAGCGCTGCTACCACAGTCTTGGGCGAGGCATCGATCGTGTCCTTGGCTAGGGGACGTCCCTCCGGCACACCCTCTGTGGGCAGAAGCTGATCTTGCGGCAACTGCCAACCTCCCGGATGGGAAGGTCGGCCAATCAACCGTGCGTCCATCATCTCGCTCAGGGCCGCCACGGGGTTGTTCTTCCTGCAGCCGCGTGCCGCTCAAGCAGCAAGCGCCAGACGCAAGCAGGTCTGCTGCTTTCATTCCAAGCACGAAGCCGTGGAGGGCCTCATCTCGGCCTCACCCATTGCCACCATCATGGCAAACCTGATGGCTTTCACAATAGCATCTCTCAGCAACGAGGGAAACGAAGCAGTCTTCAGCAACAGCTTGCAACCCTCACGATTAAAAATCTAAGTTTCACCAGGCTACTTCGAGGTTCATGGGTGGTTATAAGTGAGGGGTGATACGTAGGGTAACTGTACTTATAATAACCCATCATATTAGAGGACTTCTCACCCCACTTATAACTATACCCATGAAATCCCATGAACCTCCAAGCAGACTCCCACAGCTTCAAGCAGCAGCTCTGTCGTTGCCCGCCCCCCCCCTCCCCAACAACAAAAGATGTACGCGAAGTCTTTCTACGATCATCATGTCTGATTGCAGGTTCAAGGAGCTCGGTGATCTCAGCGCCTCGAACCATGATGGAATCTGGATCATGCAGCTTTCAAGTGCTGGCGAGATGTCTGCGGCTTTCTCATACCGGCCGATGTCAGCTACGACCTTGCGCGTCAGCTGCTAAAAGCTGTGCCTGGCCCGATGGCTACATGCTGCTTCATCCTTCACAGCACTCGAGACCGAAGACCCTTCCGACGGAGTGGCAATCTCGACAAGGCAAGGCTCCACCCGAGAACATCGAGCCGCTGCCGGTGATCACGATGGCTTTTACCTGCATGACACGACAGCTTCTACTGTGTCCTTGATGGGCGCCATTGCGTCCCCTTTGCTTGTACTTGTACAAGATCAAGATGTGGGGCACTTCACTGTTTGAGTTGACGAGATGCTCTGAATCTTCCATCATGCCCCGCAAACCCCAGCCGAGCCTTTGGATCTTGGACGAGTTTCGGGAACTCCTGCCTGAGCTGCGATTCATCCCACAGCTTCGTCTTCTGGAGGAGACTGGACTAGGGGTGACTGCAGCCAGCCAGGCATGGGGGAGCTGATAGAACAGGACAAAGCGCTTGAACGAGGTCACCAAGCTCGTGCCAAGCGAGTTCACCGGCGGGCTGTTCATAGTCAGCACGCCGACTCCATCCTGTCGCAAACGCAATCAGAATGGCAAGTCTCAAAGCTGTTTATGCTTCGAAACACCACGCTCCGGACCGGTTGCCCAATTCTCACCAAGCAGCTGGACGGACGGCAATGGAGGCCGACATGAGGAGTGCTGAGCGATGGCTGGAACAAGCGCGTGCTTCTCTCGAGCTGGCTGGAGATTGCCGAAAACCGCAGCGAAGTTGCTCGAATGTGCTGCTGTGTTGAGCGTCGTACGTCATGAAATCCTGGCTATGTAGGAAGCGTCTGTCCAGCGCTTTAGGCGGCATCCCTTCCGCCTAGCCGGGTAGCCATGCCAGGGTCGGAACTTTTTCATCCTGCTGCGATCTACAAAACTGTCCACCGTTCAAGCTGTCGGTGCTCCTGTCCAAGCGCAGGGAATTCCCAACATCTCGAGAACAGGAACATGGCGAGCACCGCCTCGCTGGCGGCTGCCGCCCAAAATCTGATGTTGTACGAACGAGTCCCACTGATGGAAACGGTGCAGCTAGGCAGCTAGTCGCATCTGGCAACTCGTTTCCAGTACATGAACCCTTCTCGAGGTCTACTGAGTCTACTGCTCGCACTGGCAGCTGCCAGGTGCTTTCGCTACCAGCGCGAATGACAGCAACAGCTTCGGCATGAGAAAAAACGGCTGCCGTTCCTGTCGCGACTTGGAACTAATGGATGAACCGACTGTTCGTCACCTTCGAAAGGTTGAACATCGGCGAGCACCGTTGATGTTGGACGCTTGTTGGTTCTTTCAAGATGTGTCAAGTGGTTGTTTCCCGTGTGCTGCTTCGCAAGAACAGTAGAGACTCCTGGGAGGTTCCGTTGACGGGAGATTGCCAATGCTGAGGCGAAACAGGTCTAGTTCTACAGCTCCTGGCATGTGAGGAAGCTGCACACACGCAATCTGCTGTGCTTATCCCCGTTAGAAACTTCAGCACGCGTGCCGAGTCGTGTCGCCTGCGATGGAGATCTTTGCCCGACGTTCCTCTTAAGCCTTAATCAGGAGACGAGAGATGCTGATTAATTGTCCGAAGCTTTTGGCAGCCAGACCTCCTGTGGACTTTCCTCAACCCCAGACTTTTGACTTCACTTAATCTCTCTACTGAGGGTAACCGTGCTCGCCGCTACTGCTGCAAAGAAAGAAAACTCGCCGCAAGCTTCTTCAAAGCTTCGCAAACGGGCCAGGAGCAGAACTCTTCTTGCGGAAGTCGGCCAGCACCACGTCAATCAGTGTTTGGCCGGGGAACACCTGGCATTCCAGTCACAGACACCGGGCGATGATTTCTCTGATGATGGGAGCCCGGCCTTTGTGCCTTCCTTGGCCGCGCAGGCCTCTAACAGCTTGGAGGGCTCGAAATAATCAATCGGCAAGTAGTTGGAGTTCTTGGTGAAGCGCTCCTCACAAACGAGTGCGAGTTGTGCGATGGGGTTGAACTCACGATCTTTGTCAGCCGTTTGACAGCTGCAGCAATGGCGGCAGCCGCAGCAGCAGCAGCAGCAGCAGCAGCAGCAGCAGCAGCATCAGCAGCAGCAGCAGCAGCAGCCAGCAGCCGTAGCCGCTGCAAGAGCAGCAGCACCGATGCCAACCAACCAACACTACCTCCTGTTGCTTGCT